GTTTTGATGGAGTGCCGGGGCCGTGCCTCACTCATCTGTGTGCCCCCGATGCAGCACGAGCCTGGCACACACAAGGTTCCGTGCACGTTTGCCTCGCCCATATGCTCTCCACATGCAGCCAGCCTGCGAGTCCCCTGTGAGCCTTGTTAAAACCTACACTGCAGGTGCCCACCCTGCGGCCACAGGTTTTGTAGTTCTAAGAAGCTCTCAGCTGATGCCGGTTGCCCAGGGTCCACCACATTTTTGAGAACCAGGAACCTGCACCTAAACTAGTATCAAGGTACAGTCTGGCTCGTTCAGAGGGAAATGGTTCTCCCTCATTCAGGGCCTCTGGCAAAATTTGGGCTCCCTGAGATCCATCTGCTTTTTGTGGCAGCCTATTCCACTGGACTTCTGGTGAATTCCAGTCCATTCTAACCCTGTAGTTGTTTCCACACATTCTTCTGCTAGCCATACCCCTACACCACACCCAAGAATGTGCAGCCATTGTTTCAGATTCAAGGACAGATATAATTTGGGGTACACTTACTTGATCACATCTGGCTGGGCTAGTTGTTTCCTGATTGTCATGCATACTGCTGGTCCTTTTGGTTATTGTTCATCCCTCCCTCAAAATCCTTTCCTAGTCATGAGAGAAGGGGATGCAGCTTACAGCTGGGTTCATCCCCTAGGCAGATAATGAACCTCAACATCAGCCACCCTCTGGACTTGTGCTAGAGAAACTGAGCCAAACATAGCTTGTCAAAAAGACCAGCAAATGACCCCTTCTGGCCCACCTGGATGGAACACAAATACGTATAAAATGAACTGAACTGGCTATGCCCAAGCTCATAGTTGATCAAGTTTGGAGGTGGCCTATTTGAATCTCCCAGGTCTCTTACATACCAGAGTTCATGCCTCTGAGATTTGGGGTGAGGGAAATCATGATAACAAATATTTAGAGGTCTCCAGAATAGTTCTTTATATAGAAACTTCCTAAGAATCATTACAGGCTTCTTTATCTCTGTTGCTTTTGGGTACCATTCAGTTTCCTTGTTCTCATTCTTTGCTCCCAAGCAAACTATTGATGTATAATTGGTCTCTCAAGAAGGCTAATTTTGGAGCCAAAACATACTCCTTTTGTTAAGTGAGTGAATTGGCTTCCTGGTTTTCCAATTGGTACCTGAGGAGTATAATTAGCACGACTAGCTTCCCTAGGGCCTGATTGCCCTGGGCTGAGCTGCATCTGGGTGATGTTGTCCTTTCACATGAGGTCCTGCCAGCAGCAGCCATACCCACTGTCCTCCATAGGGACCCAGCTGGTGCTTTCTCCCCTCGGTCCTCGGCCCACATTCTGCTTTACCTGCTCAGTTACAGTCACCCCATGGAAAGGTGGTGCACCAGTCTCACCAGTCGATCACCAGTCATCGTTCACCAGTCGTATGTGCCTTAATGGGAAATACGTAACTGATGATTGCTGGAGAAAGAAAAATGGCTCTTGATTTGAGGGAGATGACAGCTATAATCTCTTTTTAAGTTCTTACCTTGTGGCAGGGTGATCCAGGGCATCAAGCCACTCAACATGATTCCAAATGTGTTACTTTAGATCTAGTGTTGCTATTAAAGATACCCTCTTCTTTCTTCCAAGTGAGGCCACTTGGCATCTTTTGGAGGACCTCGTGTCAGGCAAATCTGCCCTTGTTCTGATGGCCTGGAGCATTTCTCTTCTCTACCAAACCCAACTGAATGCTTCTGAACAGCAAGGTGTCCTATGGTGGGGGGACTCAAGCCCAAGGCCCAAGAGGGGCAAGGGAAGGACTCAGGGGTTAGTGGGAAAACACCAGACTTCGAGTTCTGTCCACTTTCCAGCTCTGTGATTTGAGTTGTTACTTAACCCCTTTAAGCCTCAGATTCTCATCCTGGAGCAGCTGTTGGGTTAATGTGATGCTTTGGCTGCACTATTTGAAGCAACCCTCCCCAAACGTGTCCTTTCTGCTCTGTCACCTGGTTTATTTCTTTCATAATTCTTTTTTTCATTAAGTTTATTGGTACATTTAAAGTAAACAATACAGTTATCATTAGGATCTCATACCTGTACATGATATATCTTGGTTCTTGTTTTTTCCCCCATACCCCTGCCTTCCCTTCACCCGCTTCATCCTTCTCTTCCATAATTCTTAACGCGATCTAGACCACTTCTATTTAGTTCTTGTCTGTTGCCTGTGCTGCCCTAGTGTATCAACCCTGCAAGACCAGGTTATGTCCACCCAGCTTTGGTGGCGCCTTGCTCCAAGGGCTCAGTGCTACTCACTGAATGAATGGAGGAGTGAATGTATGATCCTTAGCCTGCGGCTGCTTTATGAACATGGAACTCACACTCTGTGCAGTCTGCAAATGTTTCTGGAAGCACTTACTGCATGTCAAGCATTGTTCTATACACTACAGCAATGAAGGAAGCAGGCACAACTTATTACCTTGTAGTGCTTGCATTTTTGGTGAAAGTGAACAGCTTTTACCTGAATCAAGAAGTAAACTATAAGGAGGCCAGATAGTAAGAAGGACAAAGAGAGGGACTGGCAGTGCTGGGGAAGGGAAGTCAGGAAAGGTTGCATGGGGGAGATGATGTTAGAAAAACCCGAAATCCTGCAGCTATCAAGGGAAAGAGTGTTCCAGGCAGAAGGAGCAGCAAGTGTGAAGAGCCTCAGCTGGAGTATTGTTAGAGTGGGAAGCAGAAGGCGTCATGGGTCTGGTCATGTAGGGTTTTAAGTGAATAAATTGGACACACATGTTTAAATATTGCATTGTTTCTCTAGTGTGAGAAACCAAAATGGTAAATAAGGAGCAAAATGAATGATAGATATCGGAAAGTAGGAAGAAAATGTTCAAGGGGGAAGGGGAACAAGAAAGGGGGAGAGGGGGAAGGGAAGGGAAGGAAAAGGAACAAAAAGGACAGAAAGAAAAAAATGGAAACAAAGCTTTTGTAAATGGGGGGGGAAGAGGTCTGCAGGGAGGGGGATGGGGAAAAAGGATGAATCAAGATATGCACATACAGGTATAAATTCCCTATGATAAATGTAATCAGTATGCATACCAAAGTGCACCAATAAAATTAATTTAGAAAAGAAGAGAACTTTGTGAACAGCATCTTATGAGCGATGAAAGGCCTTGTGACACAGTGCAGTACCTGGGGATGAAGCCCACGGTGGTGGCAGGTTCTGTTCAGTTTTCCTACATGCCTGGGACTGCTGCATCCTTTCTGTCCCACAGCAGGCACTCATTTCCTGAAGGGAACTCCTCCCTAGGCTGGTTTTCAGATGACAGCCATGCTCCCCTCCACTCCCTTCAGGTGTCCCCTGAACGAGAAATTCCCAAGCGTCGTTAGCTTGGGGTCATTGTGCACGCAAGCCTTCACGGGGAAAGGACAAGGCCACCAAAATAACAAAAATGAGAAAGCTGCACGGCTGGAAAAATCATGGAGTTCTCAAGAAGGATGTTTTTTGTGAGCTGAAATGCTGAGGAGATGCTGAGGCCTCCCTGCCCTCATTGGTATGCAACTGGAGAGGCTGCCCTTGTTTTTCCGTGATCTCTCTCTCCCACCACCTTCCCCTGCTGTGCCAGAGCAGACATCGCTAACCTGTCACGACTTCTTCTTCGTTGATCGCAGAGCCAGCCTCAGCATCATCCTCAGGCCGGCCCTCTGGGACCCAAGGAGAGTGCAGTGAGTAGACACACGCATCCCCCAGCAGATGTGCAGCCCTCTTCTCTGGTCACCCGATACTTCTCAGTTGTTAGACAGGCAGTAGGAGCACAAAGAGTAACGGTCTGTGCTGTGCAGACGCAGCTGTTCTCTGCCAGGGGTGAAGAAGACTTGAGAAGGCCAGAGAAAGAGGAGTTGCTGAGTAAAGCAGAAATCAAAGCTGGAATGTAACTGTCATGCGGACAAAGCCAGACGCAAATGTCTAGCCTTGTTTCCAGACTGTTGATGACTGATACGAGGCTGCACAGCACACAGCAAGGAAGACAAGGTGTCCACTGCTGGCCTTGGGGACTCAGCTGGGAGTACGACCCTGCTCACTGGGTGGGGAGAGAGAGGCCACCCTGACAAGCTGGCTGCTCCTCACCAGGACCCCCAACCCTGGAAAGTGTCTTGTCACAAACAAATGACAAGCAATCTTCTTGGTAGAGTCCAGGGGACAGTCACAGGCTGGGGTTGCGGAGTTCAGGACTCCAAAGAGTGAGGTGATGCTTACATCACAAACCCAAAGAGAGGGACTGTCAACAGGTAGGCAGAGGTGGGGGTAGGTTTGGTGCCTTTGCCAAATCCCAAGCATCGCACAGTGTGAGTGCCAAGGGCAAGAAATCAAGGCTGTGTGTAGTCCTCAGAGGTGGGTCAGTTTGAGGTCATGCGTTTCCTCGCTACTGTGTTATAGAATCAGTGTGAGACACAGAAGCACAGGGAATGGGGGCCAAAGCAAATATGGCACCACAGTCTCCGTGGAATCATCCTTCATCCCTTCTACGCTAAGGCCACTTTGTCAGTCATGCCATTCTCATTCCTCTGAGGCTACGTTATATGCACAAGGGCCAGTCAGAGAATGCTCTGCCAGGACAAACCATCCCCAAGAGATGCTTTCCCTCTTGGCACCATAACCCTTATTTGCCCAGCAGCCCACATCCTGCTTCCCACAGGTTAACTCGAACTCTCCAAGATTAAAATTAAGCCCACTTTCAGGGAGCTCTTGGAAGTCCTTGAGGTTCACTTAGGAGGAAGTGGGGAATCATATCACGAATGTCATTGCCTTGGCAGTTGGGCACTATCCAGGTTATTCATGCTGCAATCAATCAAACACACCCAAATTGTTCCTGCAGATTAGCCACTGACTGTTAACAAAGTCCCTTACTTCCTTCATATTGATTTACCGCAGCAATAGAAATATACCACCCTGGAAGTCACTCCTTCTTTCAGCTGGGAACCTATAAATGCCACGGAATTTCTAGTCGAGTTGACAGGAACCCAGCACAATGGGGATCTCCACGATCATTCTTGAAATATGTCTTTTGTGGGGTCAAGTTCTCTCTTCAGGTATTATGTCTAATTATTGTATTCATCAGTTGTACTCCTGCAAACCCAAATCCTGGCAAATCTGATCGCATTGTTACTCTGCACTGGAGTTTTGCATTGGGGAGGAGGTGGTTCTTTGCTGGTAATTGTAAATGTTCGCAAATGTTTGGAAGGTATTACTTCCTTTTGGTTTTGTCTCTGGGTGAGAAATATAAGGTTGTTGTAGTTGGAACAAGCCAGTCGCATCAATATCAGAGAGTCATTCAGTGAAGGAAATTATCTGCTGGGCTTAGAGAAGTCCCTGATGTTCAGGAAGGGAGTATGTGTGCTATCAAGAGGCCCTGATACTTTACCATAGTGAGTGGAGCACAGGGTGGATATGCTTTGAAAATGGGAAGAAAATATTCTCCTGTAAATGCTCCTATGTGCCTTCTCTCTGCAGGTGCACCTGGCATAAAGATCAATATTTGTTGAGCAAATAAGGTCAAATATTTGCACAGACAACATCTGTACGATACCACGTCTGTGTCTGTCACTCACTGCTTAGGTCAGGGGCTCAGAGCTGTGTCACTCAAGCATGGCTTTGTGCTCTCATATGGGAACACAAGAGAACTATTGAAAAATTGTTGTGATTATTGAATCTCGGGTTTTGTTTTTTTTAAACTGAGGTGTTGTGTAAAAAGATGATCCTCTGTCTACCTGTTCTCTCCTGTCTCCGTCTCTCTTTAGTTGTCTCCCTCTCTGCCTCTCTCTGCCTGTCTTTCTGTCTCTGTTTTCTTCCCTTTGTCTCTCTGTTTCTCTCTGTCTTTTCTTCCTTGTCTCGCTCTGCCTGTGTCCCTGTCTCTGTTTCTGTCTCTAGATCACCTTTCTCTCTCTGTCTCTATTTATCTCATCCATCTGACACCCAGCACCTCCTTACCCTCTCTCTCTCCATTCTCCCTCTTTTGTTCTTTCTCTCCTCCCTCGCCTCTTCATTTTCTTTCCTTTTTCTCTTTCACCCTCATCTCATGTTTTTCCTTGATGTTGCTTATTGCTAGATTCATGAATTTCAGGAGCCAAGGGAAAACCATCTAGGTTCCATATAACTTCTAGAACTATCGCTCTCCCCTGGGCTTGGTAGGGAAAGCTCTGAAGACAAAGGTTCATTTGGGAGGCAGCTTTCGTGAGCGCAACACTCCCAAACCCAAGCCTTGGCGTCTGGTGTGGTGAGTGCCCGTGTGGGGAGACGTGTGATAGCCCAGTGGGGACGCCGCCATTCCTTCCTTTGAGAAGAGCCCCAGGGTCCCAGGTTGGGGCAGCCTGGGACTTAGACAGACCATCTGCTTCCATGTGCTTTGGAGAGTGTGTGGGATGGGAGGCGGGACCGCGCCCCAGCTTTTGACAACACTCTGCAGTGGCTCTGAACAGTAGCAGCAGAGTCATGTCAGTCTTGGGGGTCAAAAGGCAGCGGTGCTCTGGGACTGAGGGAGTTGTCAGGTAATCATGACGCTGTTTGTATGCACACGTGTGGCCACACACGCGCGCGTGCATACCTGTATTGCAGTTGGGAGGTGGGAACCCGCTCTACCCTGTGTGCCTCTTTTCTCTAAATCTATTTACAACTCCAGAGTTACGTACCATCGCCTCCACATTTCAGGTGGGGAGACAGGCTCAGAAGGTTCTATGGCTTGTCGAGGACAGCGGCTGGTGGGCTACTGGGGCAGGACTTGACCCTGGAGTGAGGGCTGCCTGCATTTGGGCAGCCCTTGTGGCCAGGAGCGCCCCTGCTCCTTGAAGGGCCCAGAGGATATGAATTGGGGCGTTCAGCTCAGCACCGCAGAGCTCCACAGGCCCTCTTCTCAGTCATCTGTGCACAAACTCTTGAGAAAGTCGGGGTGCCCAGGCAGCAGTAGGCAGAGAGGCCGCGGCACCACTGCCGTTTCAGTGCTGTTCTTGACGCTGCCGCTGGCCAGCCGTGGAGCCGCTGCAAGCCTCGGTTTACTCATTTGCGAAAGGGATTACGTTTGCTGTCCCGCACAGGGTTGGAAGGATGGAGGTTACCCGGGCCGTGACTGGCAAATGGAGCCTCAGCGCTGACAGCATTCCTATTCTAGGCATTTTCCTAACGTTTTATCCAAATGTAACTTCCTAAATGTGACGCGGACCTTGGACTGGCTCCTGGAAAAGGAGAAAGTGGAGAAATCCAAATAAAGTCTAGTTTAGTAGCAGGAGCATACCCTGCTGGTTTGCTGGTTGTGACAAATAGACCAAGAAAATATAACTTCCCTATGAGGGACGTTGGGTAAGGGTTATGTGGGAGCTCTGTAGTATTTCTGCTACTTTTTTTTAAATTTAAAATTAGTCCAAAAAATTTCAAACTTTACTTTCTTTGGTCCCATTTCTTCAAGGCCAATGTTTTGCAAAATGAGAAAATAATAATTGCTTCTAAATTCATTTCTGGCAGATTGCTGATCTTCTTTCTCACTTAGTCTTTCCACAATTTAGCTGGATTTATGGCCATCGTTAGTGCCTTGAAAAGAAGAAAAATCATTGGAGGGATTTTTAAGCATTATGAGGATATTGTTCATGTGGTTGGTGTTTGGAGGGGAGAAGACTTTTGTGAGTCGAACAGTGGGCCACACAGATGTCTAATTATTCTTTGGCACAGCGCTTCTTTCTATATCTGTCTTTATTGTGCAAACACACCCCTGGGCATTATGGACACTCGTCTGGGGCGGCTGCCACGTGCTGTGGAAGGAGGGCAAAGCCTGAGGCTTCACCTTGGAACCAAGTCCAAGCTTTGCAGCCTGGCAGCCGGAACCCCACCATCCTACCTGCTGCCCTCCCGTGGCCTCGTGTGTCCCCACACCCTTTTTGGCAACACCCTTGCGTGTTTTTCTTCCCCACATGTCTCTCACTGTTTCTGCCTCCTGGGCTTATTCGCTCTTTCAGTTTTGTGGGATAGCTTGCGGTTCACTGTCTCAATACAAAGGACCTTTGCTTCTGGCTTCAATTGTGCCTCCTCTGGCCACACCCACTTCACCCTTAGCCGGTTCTGCTATCTGTGAGTCTCCTTGCCACCCTCCTCTTCCCGGTCTTCATCTGGCCAAGTCTCACCGGTCTCTTTAAATTGCACAGACATTGTCTCATTTGGAAATCTTTCCCTGGCATACGCTCGACACACTTAAGGCACACCCTACATATACACACAGTGAGAGAGACACACACACACACAATCACTCGCACACACACAGATATACACACGAACACAGACACAGGTACACATAGAGAGGTGTGATATACATACACACATAGATACAAACGTAGACATACAGAAAAATACACAGAGACAAGTATATATAGGCACACGCAGATATACTCATGCGTGGACATGTAAAAACATACGCTTCACACACAGAGCAAGCATACAGAGACACATGCATATATACATGCTTACACATAATTGCACACACACAAAGATAGAGATAGATACAAGCATAGACACAAAATACACAGATGTGTACACGGATGTGCTGGCACACACACACACACACACACACCATGTGTTGTCTGTCACTCACTCTTCTATAGAAATGGGCCTGGCACTTGCCTGTTGTGCAAGGCTGTCTTGGGATGTTTCTAGGATCCTGCTATGCATGGTCTAGGGACCAGACCTTGCCTATCTAGTGCTCACCTGGGCACCTTGCACCACCACCATCACGAGCAGCCTAGATGTGACCGGCTTTGACATGGCAGGACAGAGCTGTGCAAATGAGCTGCCTCAGCCTCACCCCTTCTGACTGATCCTGAGCAGTGTTGCTATTTCCTTATATATACTTGTGGGGCCTAAACAGTCTCAGGAAAGCTATTACCCACACGCTTATCATTGAGAATATTTGTCTCTCAGTATCCACAGGGATTTGGGTCCAAGAGGATCCTCAGATGCTCAAGTCCCTCACATATAATGGGGTAATATATGTTTATAACTTACACCCATCCTCTCTGTATCATTGTTTTCGAACATCTTCTTTTCTGACAAATTACAATGGAATTTCATTGTTTTAAACTGGCTTTTGGGGAAGCAGCAGGGCAAAGTCACCTATGTTGCTTCACAGGATTCCTGTGAGTGAAACATGCACACATCTGAGTTTTCTCTTATTTCTTCACAGGTGTTACTGAATCAGATGTTCTCATACCTAGTAAGTACTTTGAAATGAATTTCCTATATTAGTCTAGAATTTATTTTTTCACTCTCTACAGTTATTAATGTCTTAAGAATAAATGCTGCTAAGCTTTAATGAATGGTAAGGGGACTGCATAAAAGTGCGATTTGTGTCCCTTCTAGAAACCCAAAAGCAATAGGACCTCCTTCCATCTATAGTATAAATGAACCATGTGGTAATACAGTTCTGCTCTCTCTAAATTTTATTTTGCCCCCACCTCAAATTTCAGTGCACTTCAGAATCAAATAGAGCACTGGGCACTGTTGGAAAGCAGTTCTTCAGGATTCACCTCCCTCCCTTGACAGAGCCTGATTTGAAGGCCTGAGTTGGGGCCCAGGAAACTGCAGTCCTACAAAGCCACACATAAGGACATTCTCCCCACTGTGCTTTGGGAAACCTTTCTGCCTGACCCAGCTTTGAAGGAGACTGATGTTCTCAATACAGTTATAGGAGCCTCTGCTAAGAATTTCCAAAGAAAGTGACTGAGGATATGTGTCTATATTTTGCATGCTGAGTATTTTTGTGCAGAATGTTTCATATTATTGAGCCCTTCATCTGAAACCGACTTAAGAAAACTTCACTTTAAGCAAGACTGTTAGAGCACACACTCATGGTTTGACCGCAGCGCCCCCTGGCAGGATTGGGAGAGGAAGCTGAAGTTAATTTCTGTGACATGTAGATCATTTCTAAACATCTTTTCCTAACATGAATTTGTTTTCTATCTAGGTCCAGACACCTCAGACTCTACAGTAAATGGTAAGGCTTGTTTTCCCATCTACTCTTCTTTGCAAGGTCTCAGTTATTGGCTTGGACAGTCAGATCTGCTGTTGCTGTTGGCCAGTGGAAGCCAAGTGCAGCCTGAGAACAAATGTTTGTCTTTAAAATTCAGGGATGCACTGGGGATGAAAGATGTGCGCTTCAGTCCCTTGGGCACACCCCATATGCATACTCAGACAGTCCCATTGGTCATTGTCCTTCTTTCCTCTCTCTGCCTCTCAGCCATTTGGTTTGATGAAATTAGCTTCAGAAGGGATGGTTAATGTCAGAAGAGGTAGTTGAATACAGTCAGTGCTTCTTCTTCTGTGCAGTAAGGACAGTTATCTCAAAGGTAAATGACATCCACCAAGATATAAATTTTTTAATATTGCCTGGCACATAATAAGTGCTCAACTAATGCATATAATAAATGCTATTTTCATGAAATCTTCCCAAGTGCACTTTGAGGTAGGTGTCACTATGCCCATTTTGCAGATGGAAAAATTAGGGCACAGTTAGGTAATTGGTCAGTACTTCTAAATCACATGTGTGGTAAGTAATAGGGCAGAGATTTGAACCCAAGACTGGTCCTTCTGATCCTGGCTCTTAGTAAATGAGCCCATCCATCCCCTACTTTCTCTACTGAGTGTGTATAGACCTCTGTGCCCAAGATTGATATGTCAGGGTCACCCAGGACAACTAACTTGCCAGTTGGCTCCGGCTCTGTTGAGGCCACTCATTGCCCTTCTAGGATATGCCTTGAGAGATGCAGATGTAGCCTGGGAAGGACTTGAGAGGCAGCTTTTTTACTGGACCGCGCCCCCCACCCCCACAACACCCAGCAAGGTCTAGGCTGAAGCAAGAATATGGACTCTTCTGGAGGGACATTCATGAGAGCAACCAGAAGAGGGCAGCAAGGAGTCAACAGGCCCCAAATAGACTGAGAATGCTTTGGAAATGGTCCAATTAGTCTTTTCTTTCTCTTTGCTGGGCCTTTCCACGCCGCACTCCGACTCCAAACCAATAACAACCACCTGCCTACCTTGCACCCCATTCCAACTTGGCACCTTTTGGCAACAGATTTCTCATAACCTCAAACTGAACTTTGAAAAATCACACTCAGGATCTGGCTCCTGCTGTCAGGACTCTATTTCCTCACCTAACCAGTGTAACTTTTCATTATGGGTGACTGAGTGGCGCCATGCCAGGCAGCAGCACGGTGCCCAGCGGCACCTTTACCAGGGTCATCTTTATGGTGGGAGAAGAGCTGGGAAGCGTAGGTTGAAGTCCCCTGTCGGACGAATGCCTTCATGTACTTGAACGTGATGGGAGCAGAGAGTACACTGAAGTGCTTCGAGTGGGCAGTGACTTGAAAACACTTGTAGTTTGTGAAGATAAAACCTGGGGCAATCTGGGGAGACAGATGACGGGAAGAGGCACAAAGCAAGCACTTCACAAATGTGGTTGGATCAGTGACTGAGAGTGCACTCCAGAAGGGAGGAGTGGAGGCGGAGAGGTCAACTGGGAGGTCCCTAAGCAAGGTGGGCTCAAGTGAATGAAGGCGTAGCCTGGTGAAATGGCAGTGGATATAAAAAAAGAGTATCCTTGGTGATTAGTTGGACGTAGAAGGAAAGAGGAGGAATCAAATGTGATGCCCAGGTTTCCAGCAAAGCTGGTGTGGGCATAATGCATCGTTCATCTGAGTGGAGGAAAAAGACTGCTGAACTTAGGATGGTAGGATGGGGTCTCCTGGAAGCCAATGAAATGTTGGTTTGAGCTCAGGGCTGAGTCGGGACCAGAGAGACGGCTTTGGAGTCCTCTGTCTAGAAAGTTCTCAGAGTCCAAGGACTTTTCCAGGTGGGGGAGACAGTGAGAAGGGGGCAAAGAAGTCATATTTAAGGTCCCGAGGAGGGGGTGTCAGTGAAGAGGAGAAAGGGGAGCATGAAACAGTGTAAGCCGAGGGGACAGAGAGTGCCAAGCCCACAGCTCTCTGCTGTGTCAATGCAGGTTTGCCTCTGAGGCTGGTGAATGGCAGGCACCGGTGCCAGGGCCGAGTGGAGGTCCTGTACCAAGGCTACTGGGGCACCGTGTGTGATGACAGCTGGGACACCCAGGATGCAGATGTCGTCTGTCGGCAGCTTGGCTGTGGCCACTCTGTGTCGGCCCCAGGCGGGGCTCATTTTGGTCAGGGGTCGGGGAACATTCTCTTGGGTGCAGTTTACTGCTCAGGACGGGAGCCCTACCTGTCGAGCTGCCGCCACGATGGGTGGTACAACCATGATTGTGGCCACAGGGAAGACGCCGGAGTCCTGTGCTCAGGTAGTGCAGCTGTCACCTCTTGCTCTTGTGTGTGTGCCCTGAGGCAGTGTCATGGGGCATGTACGTGCATGTGTGTGTGTGTGTTTCCCTCTCTGCTGTGAGTCATGCCTTGTTTGGTGTTGGAAGACTGATATTACTGTCCTTTTTCACAGATAAAGATGTCAAGGCTCAGAGAGGTTAAGGGGACTGCTTATTGTCCAAAGCTAGGAAGTGAGGGATCCAGGTTTCAGTCTCAGGTTTCAGGCTAGGATGGGACTGTTAACAAACGGGAATGTTTTGGCTAGAGACTGGAAGCAGAGGAGGAAAAGGGTGATGACATGAACAAAAGATGTTCATGGTGGTACCCTAGCCAGCAAAGTGAGAGTGAGAAAGGTTTCACAAGGAAAAAAAAGTCATAGACTTTTAGTAATGGAGGGGGCATGCAGGATGCATTCAGCCCTTGCTTCCAAAGAGGCAAGGACCACCAGTCAATGAACTCTTCCTCTACATTCTGCAGATTCTTTGGCTTTCTCTGAGTCAAGCACTGAGAGACCTCGACAAGGTAGGATCTGCTATGTGTGATTCCTGTAGGCCTGGCCCCATACACCCATTAGGCTCATCTCTGATCCTGAGGAGGTGCAAGAGGGCATAGGAGGTGGGGTGCTCAACTCTGAAGGGGGAATTGTCTGAAGGGATTCTCAGGCTTCCAAGGCATCTCTTTTGTGGATCACAGTCTGGGGAGGAATCAACCTGAAGAGGCATCTCCAGGGAGCTTAAGGTGGAGTCTAGTGTCTTGTCTGTTGAGGTCTTGCTGCCCATACTCAGATCCCTGTGGTCCTTAACCATCAATGCTGACTCCTGGACAGATTGGGGTGCTGCATCTCCAGAGGCTTAAGTCGCCAATCTTCTGGGACAGCATCCTTGCTCATTTCTTTTCCCTGAACCCATGCCATTACCTTGGAAATCAAGACCCTTCAGTCTGTGGGCACCAGAAGTCTTATACATCCCCCTGAGGGCAGGGTAGAGGTGTGCCAGGGCTCCTGAGGCATCGTGTGTGATGACAGCTTGGACACCAATGATGCCAACGTGGTCTGCAGGCAGCTGGGCTGTGGCTCAGCTACTCTGGTCCCAGAAAATACCTGGTTTGGGCAGGGCTCAGGGCTGATTGTCCTGCTCAGAAAGTAAGTCCTACCTGTGGAGCTGCCCACAGAGGATGGCTCTCCCATAACTGTGGACACCGTGAGAATGCTGGAGTTGTCTGCTCAGGTGGCCCCTAGGAACAGTGGGACTCTTTCTTACATTAGGAATGGGCTCTGGTCATCTCTCTGGCCCCGGTCCCAGAACTTCCTGTGTGCATCCTTGGCTTGTGGGTGTGGAAGCAGCTGCTTTCCCCTTCCACAGACAGATAGTGCCTGTAGGTGTTGGGAGGCTGAACTAGCTTAACCCTGGGGAGGAAGCTCTCAGCCTTGAACTGGGCCCTCAGGCTACAGGTGGTACTGGCCTCACATCTGACCTGGAGAGACAGAGCTGCACTGGACTCAGCACATCCTTACTGGCTTGCTCACTGTGTCTCCCCATGTGACAGCCCCTGACTCAACGACCATCCGTATTTTGTCCCAGTAGTCACATGAGAGCAGTTGATTTTAGTGTCACTGTTACTGGCTCATCCCTTCTGGGCAAATGACTCCTCCCGACAGGCTTGCAGAGTTTACAGGAGAGTAGAATCCTGTTCCTAATTAACAGTTTGCCATGGAAATTCTGGATTGTGTCACGATATGCAAAATGTGAGGTCAGGATATACCAGACACAACTTCAAGGTGGAGAGGTTTATTTTGGCTCACAGTTTAGAAATTTCAGTCCATTCTTATCAGGCTAAAACACGAAATGGCATGGTGGAAGGTACTGCCCCCCAGGAAAGCTGCTTATGTCATGGTGGCCAGAAAGAAGTTAGCAAAGGGAGGAGGCAGCGAGGGAGATACGCCCTTCCAGGTCATGCCCCCAGGGAGCCACCTCTTCTGACCAAGCCCCAAAACCTGACAGCACATTTAACTATAAGCTCATTCGAGGATTAATCCACCCATGAGCATGGCATCTGCATGATCCATAACTCCTCGAAAGCACTGATATGAGTGCATGAGACTTTGCAGTGACTTCTAGATATAAACCGTAACAGGAGCTTCACTCATAGTTTAAAGACTGCATGTCTGGAACTAAAGGAGCTCTGACATGGGCCTTGAGCCTCTTCTGTGTGAGCAGCTCACATCTGCTTTTACCAGGGACCTCAGAACTTCTGTCACAGACACGTTATTCCTTTCCAGTGGCTCAGTCTCACATCAGGGTGCCCATTTCTGCCTTCCGCTTTGCTGATGTGCAAATGGTATGCCCACATGTGGATGCACACACATGTGTATGTGGTGGGGGTGGAGATGACACGGCTTTCTTTTAACACGCCTCAAAACATCCTGCAAATCAACAGATCTCATCTGCACAAAAAGGAGGCGCAGACAATGATGTGGGAAAGAGAGAGATTAGTTTCTGGTGCTTTTTATAGTCTGATTCTGCTCTCATCCAATCCCAGATGGGGCTCTAACTGCCATGGTCTGGAAAATACTTTGGATAAGAAGGCTTGGGTCAGCAGAAGGAAAAGCAGAGGTTTTACAATAGAGAAGACAACATTTCAGGCTAAGACAGAAGTCCTATATTATCTCTACCAGGGCCTTTCTTCTATGCATGAGCTTGTCAACTCCAGGGCCATTTTCTAGGAGTGAGGGGGTCCGCATAGTCTTCATTTGTCCTTAAACCTTCAGGAGAAAGCATAGGTGCCAGGGAATTATCTGCACATCTACTACAGAATCCCTGTCATCCACCTCAGAAACAGACTAAAATGCACAAACACTGTGTTGTTTTCAGGAACCGATTCTGGTTTGGCCCTGAGACTGGTGAATGGAGGGGACCGCTGTCAGGGCCGCGTGGAGGTCCAGTACCAGGGCTCCTGGGGTACCGTGTGTGATGACCTTTGGGACACCAATGATGCCAACGTGGTGTGCCGGCAGCTGGGCTGTGGCTGGGCCCAGTCGGCTCCAGGAAATGCCCGTTTCGGTCAGGGTTCAGGACCAATTGTCCTGGACGATGTGGCCTGCTCAGGTCACGAGTCCTACCTGTGGAACTGTCCCCACCGTGGCTGGCTGTCCCACAACTGTGGACACCATGAGGATGCAGGAGTCATCTGCTCAGGTGAGCTTCTGTGACACCCGGGTCTTCCTTCTTGAATGGGCTTTCAGCAGGGCAGTTCTGCGCTCAGAAGTTCACTGTGGCATCGATCATCTTTGGGTTCATGGTGGGTTGTGTTTGCAGACAAAGCACTGATCCCTTACGGTCCCCAGTGTAGCTCCTCCTGCTCATGCAGTGGCCATGAACTTTCCTCGTGGCAGCTGAGCCTGCAGGCCAATGCCTGGCCCTCTAATGAGAGAAGAAGCAGGCTCAGTGACTGTCCTGCTAGCGACAGGGGTCCAACATCAGGTCGGAGGTAACCAGGCTCTCATGGGAACATTGCACAGCTCTACCATCCTGAAAGCAGGGAAAGTTTGTGTTTCATGTTGCTCTGAGATCAGTCCATTGGCCTCCAATCTCAAATAGCCTCTGGTCTTATTTGGAGGCAGAACAACTTTGGGGTTGCCAGTCATACACTTACCCCTCTCCTTGATGCTGTAGTCATTTGGGCTTCCCTGCAGGTGACTGCACTGATAGGGTTCACTCATTATCACAGGGGAAGGAGGGATGTAAGGTAAGGTGTGGGAATGACAGGGAGGCAGGGAGAGGTTTGCAGTGAACGCTGTGGTGGAGCCCTCTGGAGCATCACAGCAGGAGCGACCTGTGGAACTCGGACAGGATATCAGAATTGTGTGTGAGGGCAGACTGTCAGTGTGCTCACCAGCTCACTGCCTAGGAAAGGTTGACCTGCTTTCCTGTGTGTTAGCAAGGGCAGCCGAAGCACAACCATGATTGCCTACCTGTGGGGAGTGAGCTTGAGGCACTGAGGTGTAGGCTGTGGGTTTAGAGAGCAGACAAAGCTCCCTGAAAGATGGAAAGATGGAGGGTTGATTCAGCCAGCATCCAGCAGAGGCCAGGGTAGAGCTCCAGCTCAGCCTGTGAATACATAGAGTCTCTTGCGACTTGTGTCTGTGACTCTGACCTTCCTTGTCTTTCCCACAGATGTTACCACTCCATCCACAGTAGGAGGTGAGTTCTCGTGTGCTGATATGGGATGTCCCTGATGCTCTGATGTTCTTCCAATGTCTCCTTCTGCTCTTGGCAATGCTGTGGGACACATTAATTCCCTACTTGGAAGAGTGACCCCAGGAGTGTGGCTCTTGCCAGGAATTTGGCTTTGCAGTCACCTTTCTCTGATCGACTCATCTGAGTTTTCATGAAATGCTTTGCTAGTGACGTGCTTAGTATCTCTTCTAGGTGCAAAATGCGCTCAATAAGCTTTGGCCCTTTCTTCTTCAGCTGCCATGACCATTGTGAGATTTGTGTATATTCTCCAAACTTCTAGCAAAACTAATGCTAGTACAGGAGAGAGTCCTCGGTCCCTCAGCCTTAGAAACAGCCGAGGACTACGTGGGTCAGTTACCTCGTTTTTGTAAGGACAGAGGTCTTTCAAATAGGTGGAGGGGAACAAATAGGTTCTCCATATTTATGAATAGAAATACTTGCTTTATCCCAGGCCCATACCTACTCTCTGTGGCTATTTGTGTCCAGTTATCAGACTGTGGGCAATGCTGTCCGATGCACTGGACTGACCCCTGGCCAGCAATGTGTAGACAGAGGTTTCCTCCCTGAGAACAGAACTCCCCACACTGAAGAGCTGGGAAGGTCAGTCCCACCTTCCTCAGGGTGTTTGTTTATGGGCCACTCAGAGCAGCGGCCTTGAGAAGATACCTAATTAGGTGCAGTAGGCATTGTAATGAGGCCTGCCTGGTGCAGAAATCTTGTTGACCTGTGCTTTGCCTGCAAGTCAAAATTGAGCCATTTTTTCTTGTTGCTATTTGCAGATGTATGGCTTGCCAGCCCCACACCTACTCCAATAGGTAAGGATCCTCTCAAAGGTGCCTGGGGCTCCCACTCACTTCTAGGTAACATCTGTCCTTGGAAATCAAAGAATGAGGTTGAGGGTGCTAGCCTAAACCTTGTCTCTGTGGGCTGGTTGAGTGCAAAGCAGGGTCAAAGAAGGCCGAGTTGTTGGTCTGATATTGGGTGGATGGTGACCTGGCCCCAGAGGCATCCCGAGCCAGAGCTCAGTGAAGACCCTCATGCAGGGGACTCGGACAAACCCCAGAAGGACCGAGAATTCCGTGAAGACCTGGGTCAAGGCGCGAGTGGCAGATACTGGAACCCTGCTGCTCCAAGAGGAGCTCCGTGCCAGTTCCTTGGCGAAAGAGCCCTGCCTGTCCTGAGAGCTTTCCTCAGACTGAGCCACGAGGGTTTGCTGACAGTGACATTTTGATCAGTTGGCACTCTAGAAAGAGCACCGCATGTTTTGACCCATTGCGTTTCTGGTGGACTATCCATTCCCAACCTCGGACCTGTACTGGAATTAGTGAGAATCTAGGGAGTAGGACAAGTGTGCCCTGACATTCCACTGGGGTTGTACCTTTGGTGCCTGAATCTTGACTTCAGCGAGAAGCTAGCATGAGCTGGTCCTGTTAACCACAGGGACAAATCTGGAGTTGGGCTGTGTGACTTAATGCTGACTGCCGTGACAGTGTCTCCAGCCCTGCTCTGAGGGGTGAGCGATGGGAGCTCCAGCCACAGTTCGGTGACTTGAATGGCTGAAGAGAGTTCTGATATGGGCTTCTGGCATCTTTTATGAGAGCAGAGGGTGCCTTCTTTGCCATGGGACACCTTTCTGAGCTCATCACTGCCTCCCTTGTGCTGTCTGACAGCAGAGGATGCATTTCTGCCTTCTGCTTCATGGATGTGCAGAGTGCTTGTGCATGTGGGTGCAAGTCTATGCCTGTGCTGGTGCCCTCATGTGCAGGAGGGGTGGGGAGGACTCTGCATCCTCCTAATACTCCCTGAAACACCCTGCCGTTCTGTGGTCTCATCAGCACACAGAGGAGGCCCCGGCACTGAAGTGGGAAAGAGAGGTGGAGGATCCCGGTGCTTCAGTTCCCATTAATCTTGATGTTGTGAGGGAGCACTCTCTGTTGCCTTGGGCTCCCAGTATCAGAGCTTGGGCAGTGACTCTGGACCTGAGTTCTTGGGTCAGCAGAGGGAAGGGCAAAGCCTTTGAGAGTGAGAAGAGATCATGGGATGGAGAGACAGAGGCTCAGGCTGATCTCCATCAGGGTCCTTGCGCTATGCATGAACTCATGGCCACAACTGCCCCTGTCCAGCAAGTGGAGGGGCCACTTTCCTTTTCCTTGGGTTTTAACCTGCATGAGCCACTTGGCTTCATTGTGCCCTCATGGTCTTGATGTTCTTCACTGAAATGGGATCCAAACTAAAACCCTGCATTCTGCCTAGGAACTGATTCTGGTTTGGCCCTGAGACTGGTGAATGGAGGCGGCCGCTGTCAGGGCCGCGTGGAGGTCCAGTACCAGGGCTCCTGGGGTACCGTGTGTGATGACCTTTGGGACACCAATGATGCCAACGTGGTGTGCCGGCAGCTGGGCTGTGGCTGGGCCCAGTCTGCTCCAGGAAATGCCCGTTTCGGTCAGGGTTCAGGACCAATTGTCCTGGACGATGTGGCCTGCTCAGGTCACGAGTCCTACCTGTGGAACTGTCCCCACCGTGGCTGGCTGTCCCACAACTGTGGACACCATGAGGATGCAGGAGTCATCTGCTCAGGTGAGCTTCTGTGACACCCGGGTCTTCCTTCTTGAATGGGCTTTCAGCAGGGCAGTTCTGCGCTCAGAAGTTCACTGTGGCATCGATCATCTTTGGGTTCATGGTGGGTTGTGTTTGCAGACAAAGCACTGATCCCTTACGGTCCCCAGTGTAGCTCCTCCTGCTCATGAAGTAGCCATGAATTTTTCTCCTGGCAGCTGAGCCTGCAGGCCAATGCCTGGCCCTCTAATGAGAGAAGAAGCAGGCTCAGTGACTGTCCTGCTAGCGACAGGGGTCCAACATCAGGTCGGAGGTAACCAGGCTCTTATGGGATCATTGCACAGCTGTACCATCCTGAGAGTAGGGATAGTTTGTGTTTCATGTTGCTCTGGGATCAGTCCATTGGCCTCCAATCCCAAATAGCCCCTGGTCTTATTTGGAGGCAGAACAACTTTGGGGTTGCCAGTCATACACTTACCCCTCTCCTTGATGCTGTAGTCATTTGGGCTTCCCTGCAGGTGACTGCACTGATAGGGTTCACTCATTATCACAGGGGAAGGAGGGATGTAAGGTAAGGTGTGGGAATGACAGGGAGGCAGGGAGAGGTTTGCAGTGAACGCTGTGGTGGAGCCCTCTGGAGCATCACAGCAGGAGCGACCTGTGAAACTCGGACAGGATATCAGAATTGTGTGTGAGGGTAGATTGTCAGTGTGCTCACCAGCTCACTGCCTAGGAAAGGTTGACCTGCTTTCCTGTGTGTTAGCAAGGGCAGCCGAAGCACAACCATGATTGCCTACCTGTGGGGAGTGAGCTTGAGGCACTGAGGTGTAGGCTGTGGGTTTAGAGAGCAGACAAAGCTCCCTGAAAGATGGAAAGATGGAGGGTTGATTCAGCCAGCATCCAGCAGAGGCCAGGGTAGAGCTCCAGCTCAGCCTGTGAATACATAGAGTCTCTTGCGACTTGTGTCTGTGACTCTGACCTTCCTTGTCTTTCCCACAGATGTTACCACTCCATCCACAGTAGGAGGTGAGTTCTCGTGTGCTGATGTGGGATGTCCCTGATGCTCTGATGTTCTTCCAATGTCTCCTTCTGCTCTTGTCAATGCTGTGGGACACATTAATTCCCTACTTGGAAGAGTGACCCCAGTAGTGTGGCTCTTGCCTGGAATTTGGCTTTTCAGTCACCTTTCTCTGATCGACTCATCTGAGTTTTCATGAAATGCTTTGCTAGTGACGTGCTTAGTATCTCTTCTAGGTGCAAAATGCGCTCAATAAGCTTTGGCCCTTTCTTCTTCAGCTGCCATGACCATTGTGAGATTTGTGTATATTCTCCAAACTTCTAGCAAAACTAATGCTAGTACAGGAGAGAGTCCTCGGTCCCTCAGCCTTAGAAACAGCCGAGGACTACGTGGGTCAGTTACCTCGTTTTTGTAAGGACAGAGGTCTTTCAAATAGGTGGAGGGGAACAAATAGGTTCTCCATATTTATGAATAGAAATACTTGCTTTATCCCAGGCCCATACCTACTCTCTGTGGCTATTTGTGTCCAGTTATCAGAGTGTGGGCAATGCTGTCCGATGCACTGGACTGACCCCTGGCCAGCAATGTGTAGACAGAGGTTTCCTCCCTGAGAACAGAACTCCCCACACTGAAGAGCTGGGAAGGTCAGTCCCACCTTCCTCAGGGTGTTTGTTTATGGGCCACTCAGAGCATTGGCCTTGAGAAGATACCTAATTAGGTGCAGTAGGCATTGTAATGAGGCCTGCCTGGTGCAGAAATCTTGTTGACCTGTGCTTTGCCTGCAAGTCAAAATTGAGCCATTTTTTCTTGTTGCTATTTGCAGATGTATGGCTTGCCAGCCCCACACCTACTCCAATAGGTAAGGATCCTCTCAAAGGTGCCTGGGGCTCCCACTCACTTCTAGGTAACATCTGTCCTTGGAAATCAAAGAATGAGGTTGAGGGTGCTAGCCTAAACCTTGTCTCTGTGGGCTGGTTGAGTGCAAAGCAGGGTCAAAGAAGGCCGAGTTGTTGGTCTGATATTGGGTGGATGGTGACCTGGCCCCAGAGGCATCCCGAGCCAGAGCTCAGTGAAGACCCTCATGCAGGGGACTCGGACAAACCCCAGAAGGACCGAGAATTCCGTGAAGACCTGGGTCAAGGCGCGAGTGGCAGATACTGGAACCCTGCTGCTCCAAGAGGAGCTCCGTGCCAGTTCCTTGGCGAAAGAGCCCTGCCTGTCCTGAGAGCTTTCCTCAGACTGAGCCACGAGGGTTTGCTGACAGTGACATTTTGATCAGTTGGCACTCTAGAAAGAGCACCGCATGTTTTGACCCATTGCGTTTCTGGTGGACTATCCATTCCCAACCTCGGACCTGTACTGGAATTAGTGAGAATCTAGGGAGTAGGACAAGTGTGCCCTGACATTCCACTGGGGTTGTACCTTTGGTGCCTGAATCTTGACTTCAGCGAGAAGCTAGCATGAGCTGGTCCTGTTAACCACAGGGACAAATCTGGAGTTGGGCTGTGTGACTTAATGCTGACTGCCGTGACAGTGTCTCCAGCCCTGCTCTGAGGGGTGAGCGATGGGAGCTCCAGCCACAGTTCGGTGACTTGAATGGCTGAAGAGAGTTCTGATATGGGCTTCTGGCATCTTTTATGAGAGCAGAGGGTGCCTTCTTTGCCATGGGACACCTTTCTGAGCTCATCACTGCCTCCCTTGTGCTGTCTGACAGCAGAGGATGCATTTCTGCCTTCTGCTTCATGGATGTGCAGAGTGCTTGTGCATGTGGGTGCAAGTCTATGCCTGTGCTGGTGCCCTCATGTGCAGGAGGGGTGGGGAGGACTCTGCATCCTCCTAATACTCCCTGAAACACCCTGCCGTTCTGTGGTCTCATCAGCACACAGAGGAGGCCCCGGCACTGAAGTGGGAAAGAGAGGTGGAGGATCCCGGTGCTTCAGTTCCCATTAATCTTGATGTTGTGAGGGAGCACTCTCTGTTGCCTTGGGCTCCCAGTATCAGAGCTTGGGCAGTGACTCTGGACCTGAGTTCTTGGGTCAGCAGAGGGAAGGGCAAAGCCTTTGAGAGTGAGAAGAGATCATGGGATGGAGAGACAGAGGCTCAGGCTGATCTCCATCAGGGTCCTTGCGCTATGCATGAACTCATGGCCACAACTGCCCCTGTCCAGCAAGTGGAGGGGCCACTTTCCTTTTCCTTGGGTTTTAACCTGCATGAGCCACTTGGCTTCATTGTGCCCTCATGGTCTTGATGTTCTTCACTGAAATGGGATCCAAACTAAAACCCTGCATTCTGCCTAGGAACTGATTCTGGTTTGGCCCTGAGACTGGTGAATGGAGGCGGCCGCTGTCAGGGCCGCGTGGAGGTCCAGTACCAGGGCTCCTGGGGTACCGTGTGTGATGACCTTTGGGACACCAATGATGCCAACGTGGTGTGCCGGCAGCTGGGCTGTGGCTGGGCCCAGTCTGCTCCAGGAAATGCCCGTTTCGGTCAGGGTTCAGGACCAATTGTCCTGGACGATGTGGCCTGCTCAGGTCACGAGTCCTACCTGTGGAACTGTCCCCACCGTGGCTGGCTGTCCCACAACTGTGGACACCATGAGGATGCAGGAGTCATCTGCTCAGGTGAGCTTCTGTGACACCCGGGTCTTCCTTCTTGAATGGGCTTTCAGCAGGGCAGTTCTGCGCTCAGAAGTTCACTGTGGCATCGATCATCTTTGGGTTCATGGTGGGTTGTGTTTGCAGACAAAGCACTGATCCCTTACGGTCCCCAGTGTAGCTCCTCCTGCTCATGAAGTAGCCATGAATTTTTCTCCTGGCAGCTGAGCCTGCAGGCCAATGCCTGGCCCTCTAATGAGAGAAGAAGCAGGCTCAGTGACTGTCCTGCTAGCGACAGGGGTCCAACATCAGGTCGGAGGTAACCAGGCTCTTATGGGATCATTGCACAGCTGTACCATCCTGAGAGTAGGGATAGTTTGTGTTTCATGTTGCTCTGGGATCAGTCCATTGGCCTCCAATCCCAAATAGCCCCTGGTCTTATTTGGAGGCAGAACAACTTTGGGGTTGCCAGTCATACACTTACCCCTCTCCTTGATGCTGTAGTCATTTGGGCTTCCCTGCAGGTGACTGCACTGATAGGGTTCACTCATTATCACAGGGGAAGGAGGGATGTAAGGTAAGGTGTGGGAATGACAGGGAGGCAGGGAGAGGTTTGCAGTGAACGCTGTGGTGGAGCCCTCTGGAGCATCACAGCAGGAGCGACCTGTGAAACTCGGACAGGATATCAGAATTGTGTGTGAGGGTAGATTGTCAGTGTGCTCACCAGCTCACTGCCTAGGAAAGGTTGACCTGCTTTCCTGTGTGTTAGCAAGGGCAGCCGAAGCACAACCATGATTGCCTACCTGTGGGGAGTGAGCTTGAGGCACTGAGGTGTAGGCTGTGGGTTTAGAGAGCAGACAAAGCTCCCTGAAAGATGGAAAGATGGAGGGTTGATTCAGCCAGCATCCAGCAGAGGCCAGGGTAGAGCTCCAGCTCAGCCTGTGAATACATAGAGTCTCTTGCGACTTGTGTCTGTGACTCTGACCTTCCTTGTCTTTCCCACAGATGTTACCACTCCATCCACAGTAGGAGGTGAGTTCTCGTGTGCTGATGTGGGATGTCCCTGATGCTCTGATGTTCTTCCAATGTCTCCTTCTGCTCTTGTCAATGCTGTGGGACACATTAATTCCCTACTTGGAAGAGTGACCCCAGTAGTGTGGCTCTTGCCTGGAATTTGGCTTTTCAGTCACCTTTCTCTGATCGACTCATCTGAGTTTTCATGAAATGCTTTGCTAGTGACGTGCTTAGTATCTCTTCTAGGTGCAAAATGCGCTCAATAAGCTTTGGCCCTTTCTTCTTCAGCTGCCATGACCATTGTGAGATTTGTGTATATTCTCCAAACTTCTAGCAAAACTAATGCTAGTACAGGAGAGAGTCCTCGGTCCCTCAGCCTTAGAAACAGCCGAGGACTAGGTGCGTCAGTTACCTCGTTTTTGTAAGGACAGAGGTCTTTCAAATAGGTGGAGGGGAACAAATGGGTTCTCCATATTTATGAATAGAAATACTTGCTTTATCCCAGGCCCATACCTACTCTCTGTGGCTATTTGTGTCCAGTTATCAGACTGTGGGCAATGCTGTCCGATGCACTGGACTGACCCCTGGCCAGCAATGTGTAGACAGAGGTTTCCTCCCTGAGAACAGAACTCCCCACACTGAAGAGCTGGGAAGGTCAGTCCCGCCTTCCTCAGGGTGTTTGTTTATGGGCCACTCAGAGCATTGGCCTTGAGAAGATACCTAATTAGGTGCAGTAGGCATTGTAATGAGGCCTGCCTGGTGCAGAAATCTTGTTGACCTGTGCTTTGACTACAAGTCAAAATTGAGCCATTTTTTCTTGTTGCTATTTGCAGATGTATGGCCTGCCAGCCCCACACCTACTCCAATAGGTAAGGATCCTCTCAAAGGTGCCTGGGGCTCCCACTCACTTCTAGGTAACATCTGTCCTTGGAAATCAAAGAATGAGGTTGAGGGTGCTAGCCTAAACCTTGTCTCTGTGGGCTGGTTGAGTGCAAAGCAGGGTCAAAGAAGGCCGAGTTGTTGGTCTGATATTGGGTGGATGGTGACCTGGCCCCAGAGGCACCCCGAGCCAGAGCTCAGTGAAGACCCTCATGCAGGGGACTCGGACAAACCCCAGAAGGACCGAGAATTCCGTGAAGACCTGGGTCAAGGCGCGAGTGGCAGACACTGGAACCCTGCTGCTGCAAGAGGAGCTCCGTGCCAGTTCCTTGGCGAAAGAGCCCTGCCTGTCCTGAGAGCTTTCCTCAGACTGAGCCAGGAGGGCTTGCTGACAGTGACATTTTGATCAGTTGGCACTCTAGAAAGAGCACCGCATGTTTTGACCCATTGCGTTTCTGGTGGACTATCCATTCCCAACCTCGGACCTGTACTGGAATTAGTGAGAATCCAGGGAGTAGGACAAGTGTGCCCTGACATTCCACTGGGGTTGTACCTTTGGTGCCTGAATCTTGACTTCAGCGAGAAGCTAGCATGAGCTGGTCCTGTTAACCACAGGGACAAATCTGGAGTTGGGCTGTGTGACGTAATGCTGACTGCCGTGACAGTGTCTCCAGCCCTGCTCTGAGGGGTGAGCGATGGGAGCTCCAGCCACAGTTCGGTGACTTGAATGGCTGAAGA